CCTGCTCTAGCCGGTCGCCGGCCGGGCTGGCTTGCGAGGCCCGCGTCGCCTCTTGCCTGTCTGCGCTCTGGCTTTCATATTCTTCATTCGTTAGACAGTTTAGGACCAACTTTCCAATTGCTGTGTTCCGAGCGATGGAATCCCTGCTTTATGAGTTCTGTTGGTGGGTTTAGACATGCACCACAATAGCAGCGATGCACGATAGAGAACGCTCAACTCGGGAGAAGGAACTCTTCCGACGCCGCTGGTGTGATAGCGGAGATGGTGATGGGAGAGAGAAAGGACAGGCTGGAAAGTTAGATTCTCTTTCTGCAAATTGGGAACTGAACATTCGGTGGAGCAAAAGCTTTTCATACAAAGTCGCAGCGAACTTCACTGTTCTGAGTGTTGAGTGTATGGCAGAAAGGTTTTGGAGAAAAAAATATAGTAATGATTGGGTCAGATTTTTCCAGTATGTTAAATTCTACCTTAATGAGCTTGGAATATGGATTTTGGATTTGACTTTGAGTATGACCAATGGTAAATCAGTACCAGTTTCCATACAATTGATTCTGACCCTTAGCAACCCCCTGTGCCTGAGTACAAGTGTGCTTGCTCACTGGGATTTTCCGTGACTTATACGGGCATCATTGATTTCTGATGTGAACCTTGGAAGCTTTGGCCACCTGACATGACAGTAATGCATTTGGGATGTTTTGTGTTTGTAGCAGACAGATTGGACCGAACCATGGCTAATAGGACTCGTCGCCTTCCACATCTTCTGCCTGCTGCTCACTTGTTTCTCATCTCAAAGGTATAAATTACAGATTGGACATTTCTTTTGCTTAGGTGAGCAGAATTATTATTTTTTAAATTCGTGATGAAGACTGCTTTATAAAATGGTTATTTTGTCTGTCTCCACAATATATAAATGTGTTTGCTAGCCCTTCTATGGAGGAGCTCTGGAAATGTAGTGGGTTAAGTGTTGGGCTGCCAACCTCAAGGTCAGCAGTCGGAAACCACCCACGGCTCAGCTTGATAAAGATGAGGCTTTCTACTCCCCAAAAGAATTACAATATTAGAAACCCACAGGTTTTCTTACAGGGTAGCTATGGGTGATTTGATGCTATGGCAGTCAGCCTTCCTATTGTGCTGTGTGTTTTTATTTTTATCTATTTTTTCCACAGGTTTAATAAATGTATCCATTTAGTTCCCATTTGCAGCAACTCTTATTCCTTTGAAATACAGACAGACCCAGCAATGCCCAGCATTGCCCAGCAGTACTTTTCAGGCTTCCAGAATTCATGTTCACTGAGCATTTGGTGTTGCAGTAGCACTTGTCCAGAACTGGGAACGCTCCGTAGTTGGGGTACTTTATGTATCGTGAAGAAAGTCTTTCTACCAGAGGAAGAAAAAAAACCACTCCTCAGAACCCAACAGATCTGTGAGATCTTTCTTGTCCCCTCACCTCAGAGGCATTTTCTTGGGGTTTTTTTCCCAGTGGCACGAAAAAAAAGACCAAAACCTAACCGGAGTTACAAAAACAGAAGACCATGATGGCTGTAAAAGGGGTGTCCAGGAGCACCAGAAAGACCCCTTTACCAGCCACATCCAGTGTGTGTGCTCCACAGAAAAAACAACAGAAACGAGTCCATGAATCCCAACGGTTAGATTGCAAAATCCCTTCATCCTGTGTGTTTGGATTTTTAAAGCACCTCTGAAAGAGTCCCAGATTGCAGATTTGGGAATTACAAATCTATTATAAAATGATTTTTGGATATTAAACATAAGAGTAAACTACTGAGCATCTGTATGTCCCAGGCAAGTGTACTAAATGCTCGTTAGCCAGAGAGGAGCTCATTTAATGAAATGCTGACTATCTTGTACAAGTTGTTTTTCTGCGTGTGCTTAGTATCGTGTTCCTTGCCCTGGGAGGGAGAAAACATATTAGGAAGGAAAGTTTTATAAATTAGCATAGCACATCGCTATATCAAATAAAAACATTGCCCAAATCAGTTTAAAGCTCTAGACGCTGGAATTTAGAGAAGGAAATGAGTTACATGAAGGGATTGAGAAAGGTGGTTGCCTCCTCTGTGTATAATGAAAAGAAATGGTACTTAGATTTGGGCTATCCCTATGATGCATTGTGGAGTAGACCATGTGATCTATGGATTTTTATTTTGGAGGTAGATCACTAGACCTGTCTTAGTCTGTGTTAGTCTAAAAACTGCTGAAACCTGTTCAGCATCATAGCAACAGTAAAACCTCCATGTATAGTGACTACCTCAGGTGCCATGGTCAGAAATCAAACCTGAGTCTGAAGCATGGGAGGCAAGGCATGAATTCTACCACCGAGCCATTGTGTGTCATTCAGAAAGATCCCATGGGAACAATAAAGTCTTGATAAGGGACATGAAAAGTGAGTAGAAACATTTTAGTAAGAAACAATTTTTTTTTAACTACTGCCATTGACTTGATACCACCAGGTAGAGACCCTATAGGACTAAATAGAATTGTTCCATAGGGTTTCTGAGATTCAATCTTTAGAGGAGCAGACAGCCTCATCTTTCTTCCATGGAACATCTGGTGGATTTGAACTGCCAACCTTGTAGTTAGCAAGTGACCTTGCAGCTGTGAGAAGAAAGCAATCAGAATGATAGTAGGAAGACCTAATAACGCAGAAGTGGAGATTAATGTGAAACATGGAGAAAATGTTAGAGAAACCACAAGTTCAGCAAGAGCTAAGCATTTCTTGTGTTCCGTAGCTAGAAATATACTTGTGTAGAGTCTATAAAGGATATGTTGAGGCTTTTTTGTGTGATTCTGTAGATATTGGGGAACCACTAAAGATTTTTGCATGGTGGCGGCAGTGTTCTTAGCTGCCATCAAGTTCATTCTGATGCATTAACAATTCTATATACAAAATGTTCACCTTGTATTGACCTTGATTTTCTTTTCTGTTAAATAGTGTACTCTGTAATTGTTTTATTTTTCACTTCTCATACCTAAAATGGGGAATTTTTCTTATTTTCTTATAGTAAATATTCTATTATAAATAAATAATTTTATTCTGTAGGACTAGTTGTCATTTAAATTCTGATGGATTTTCTATTTCTTTACAGTAATTTTGGTCTACTGTGCTGAATATATTAATGAAGCGGCTGCAATGAACTGGAGGTAAACAACAATTTACTATATATTAAGAAATACCTTCTCTAATGATATTACCACAGATATCGTCCATACAGATCAAAGGACTGAAAGAGAAAATTAAGTCAATTTAAAATCAAATCACCTTTGCATTAATAGGTTTTTAGCTTTAAAAAATAACTTGTTAAATATATTTTCTAATATTTTCTGACTGAACAAATTCAACTGTATTACTGATACAGTTTATAGTTGAAATGGGAGGCTATTTAATGGGTGATTTCAAATGCAGAGTAGAATCAAAATATGTGTACGTGGAACTCAATCAATATTATGGTTAAAACAGAAAGCATTGTACTTTCAGACTAACCTCCCCCTTGGCCCTAGAAACCTTCTATTTGTAAATACTGGGTTTTTTTAGGAGTATGTGTACAATCTACTGAATTTTTGTGTGACTTGTCAATCCCTGGACAGCACTCTGTTCATTGTGGGTCTTAGTTCTGGCGTCCTATTGCTCTTGCAGCACTGCTTTGATCATTATTGTTGTGATTTCTAGCCCGGGTGATGGGGTGCAGGGCTACTAACCACAAGATCAGTGGTTAGAACTCACCAGTCGCTCCGGCGGTTAAAAGATGAGGCTTTCTACTTCCATCAAGATTTGAGTTCTGAGAACCCTAAAGGAGCAGTTCTGCTCAGTCTTATAAGTCACTATGAAAATTCAAGGCCATGAGTATTAGTTTGGAATGGTGAGCTTGTAGTTCTGTGACATCTGTCTTCGGCTGTGTTCTCCAGAGAAATAAAATCTAGACTATGTGTTTCTATCTATGTCTATGCATGCCTATGTCTATAACACAAAACCAGGAAAAGCAATATATATATGAAAAGAAGTTTATATATATCAAGAAATTGGCTCACAAAACAGGAAAAGTGAGCAATTCCAAGTCTTGCCAGGCTCCACATCCTTGGATCAGATGTTAGATGGGGGACTTCTGACTCAAGTCTCTGCGGGGACTGATGAAACCAAGATCAGCAGTGAGGCAACAGGTTGGTGACTGCAAAACGAAGTGAATTTAAGGTCAGTACATCAGAGTTGTGGCTTCATACATGAAGGAAACCAAAGACAACAGGTTGGAAGTCAGGCCACTGAATACTCTTAGGATCAGCAGGCAATGTGGCAGCCCATTGCTTACGTCCAAAAAATGGGACGTCCATGAGCCACATGCAAGATCCAGATCCAGTAAAAAGCAAACCAGTTTTCCACAGTGTGTACTTATTTGGAAGCAGACCAGAGCCCCTACGCAATTAATTGCATCAGGACTGTTACCTGATTAAGGGTGTTTGTTGCATTCCACCCCAACTTTTCCCATTTTGAAGACTTAAAACTGATTGACAGTGATTACATTGTGTTAACTCAAGTCCTGTGAGATAATTAGATGCTAACTGCCAACCCCACCACTTTTCTGTCAGTTTTTCACACTGTGGTAACTTGCGTATTTCTGTGATGCTGTGGAAGCTATGTCATTGTTATTTCAAATACCAGCATATCACCCAAAGTAAACATGCTTCAGCAAACTTCTAGACAAAGAACAGACTACAAAGAAGAAATAGGCTATCCACTATTGAGGAACTACAAACCTCATGATTATCAGCAGAACATGTCAGAGTTATTACCAGAAGATGAGCCCCTCAGGTAGAAAGACGCACAAATCATCGCAAGAAGAGCTGCCTTCTCAAAGTAGAAACAGCCATAATGACGTGAATGGACTAAGGCTTTCGGACTTCCATTTGCTAATCAGCCACACTCAAAATGCGAAGAAACAGCTGCACATGCCACTTCATAATTGGGATGTGTAATATACAATGTATCAATCTAGGAACATTTGAAGTTCTCTCAAATCAAATGGAATGCATAGTAATTGTGGGAGTTACATAATCTCGTGTCAATTTGAGGATATTAAGAGTGAAGGGGTAGACTCTAGCCTGTCAATCAGGTCACAGCCTGATGATGCCTCCTTGTGGGTGTGGTCTCCTCATGAGGATTCTGGGAACTTTCTGCTTTACCTTCCTGTTGAATAGCCACACTCAGAGAGCCGGAGGAGCCAACATGGAGACCCGCACCACGTGGAGACCCGTGCCAGCGCTGAGATGCTTCCACTGTCATTGGATCCACATGACTGCGACCACTGGCCTGTAATCTTCCTGCATTCGGCATTGCATGTGCTCCATGAGTCTGAAGAGGGATGTGTGGACTAGTATCGGACATATGGGCTAATATGGGACGTATGGACTTGATCTAGACTGGGCTGGAATGTTTTCTCAAAATACAATTGCTCTTTGATACAAAGCTCTTTCTTATACATATGAGTGTCTTTGGATTTGTTTCTCTAGTTAACCAGGTCTAACACAGTGATTAATATCCTAGGCATTAATGAGCTGAATGGACTGGTACAGGCATAATGAATATCAAGTAGTAATCTTGTGTCGAGAAGGCATCCCAGCCCAATCTATCTCAAGTCCTTAAGTCAGAGACTAGAAAGTGCCTCTTCAGATTTCGTGTAGCTACAGGTCAGTGACACAGAAAGGTGAAGCGTGTTGCAGGGAGATCACAGGGCAGTGGGTGAGTGTTGTATGGATCCAAAGTTGGTGGACACATGGCAGGTTGCTGACAGTTCTGAGGGTCATTCTGCCCATATGGGATCACCCTTGCAGGCAAAGACAAAGTTGTAGTGAAGTCCCAGTGCGGAGAAAGGCAAAAAGGCAAGGGGGCGAGGAGGTATCCCAGTTTGTCCCTGGAGGTATCAAACTGTGACCTCAATGATAGGTTGGACGCTACTCCTCCTTTTCATACATATTCATGTTAACATAAACTCTACCACAGTCAACTAACCAATAAAGCTAGTGATGCAGAAATTTTGTATTCAGTCTGAAATTGATCAACTATAAAGATGCATTGACAATTATTGTCTGTTGGAATGCAAAAGTTGGAAATGAAGAAGGAATAGTAGTTGGAAAATAGCGCTTTAGCGACAGAAAGGAAGACAGTCTCTGTCTTCCTGGTAGAATTTTGCAAGATGAGTGACGTCATTACAGATACCTTACTTCAACAACACAAAAGGCAACTATCGTTTTTCCAGATGGAATACACAGAAATCAAATTGACTACATCTGTGGGAAGAGACTACATAGAAACTCTTATCAGCAGCTAAAACAAGGCCATTTGCTCATATGTAAGTTCAACTTGAAGTTGAGGAAAATGAAAATAAGTCCACTTAATATAGATTGTTTTCAAAAAACACCTTGTAATGCTAATCTTCCCCTAAGAGTAATTCGTCTCTCCAGTAAATTGTGTATCATAGTAAAAAGTGATCTCTTGCAATTCTTATTTTTTTCATTATATGTAGTGTCATACCATAAACTTTGAATAACATCATGAGATTCATACCAAGTACCACCAGTGATGTTTAGTGCTCCCCAAAAGCAGAGAGAAGTCATTACAGTTGAAAAACTTGAATTGCTTAATACATACCTTAGATTGATGTCTGTAACTGGTGGCCCCCATTTCAAAATCAATGACTACAGCTATGCAGAGAGGAACTATTATTTTAAAAGAATAGGAACCAACAAATGGTTCAAAACCAATGGTGGGGAGGGGACGGGAGGAATGGT